GAAGTCTCTGGACCCCTCTGAGCCAGCCTCCTCCGTCCTTGCAAAGTGCAGACACTTCAGTGGTCTCCAGTGTTGCTGGGAGAGTGAAGGGAAGCCCCCTGCAGAGGCGCTGTCACTCCTCCACCACACCATCCCACAGGCTACTGGGAGGCTGGCTTAAGGACACCCATGGCAGACATGTTTTGCAAGAACACTCAAATACAAAGATGTACATGAAGCACGTGGGCACGGCTGTCCATAGGAGAGTGTACAGGACTAGAATAATGAGGGTGTCGCAGACGGGTGTGGTGCCGTGCATGACTGAGGGGTGTTGTCAACTCCATGCTGTGCATCTGAGCTTATAAAGGGGGCACTCAACCCCCAAATCCACTTCAGGGGAAAGATTGAGAACTGTGATGCGCTGGACAAGGTCAGTTTCACCTGGCGGCCACTTTAGTGCCACGTCCTGCCCACTCGCCTGCGTGGGGGCCTCTTCCGCAGCTGGTCTATGGACCTCCAGTGTGGAATTTGGTTTCCATGTGCTTCAGGGACCATGTGTCTCCTTGGCAGACACAGGGTACACCACCATGCCACTGACCTCCTGTGCGATGGGTTAGGGGCACCCAGCTTGCCTTCCTCCTTGGTGCTCCCTGCACGTGCCTCCAGCACGAGGCCCGGGTGAGCCATAGCAGAAGGACCCCACCGCACTCCTGCGCTCCCCAGCTCCAACCCCACAGTCCACGCAGCAGGCAAGTCACGTTCCTTCTCATTTCTAAAGTGCACTAATAATACATGGATGCGTCTCAAATTGTATAGAAGCACCCAGGAGAAAACAGGGGACCTCCTTCCCCTCCCCGTGCTGTGCTTGCCATAGTGACAGGGCGTTTGAGCCTGTGCCCTCCGGTGCTGTGCACACACAGGTCTCCATGCTGTTTTTTTTTTTTTGAGACCGGGTATTGCTCTGTCACCCAGGCTGGAGTGAAGTGGTGCAATCACAGCTCACGCAGCCTCCAACTCTTGGGCTCAAGTGATCCTCCCGAGTGCTCAACCCCCTGAGTAGTGGGACCACAGGCACACACCACCGTGCCTGGCTAATTTTCTAAAATATTTTCTGTAGACACAGGGTCTCTTTATGTTGCCCAGGCTGGTCTCAAACTCCTGGCCTCAAGGGATCCTCCTGCATCATATTTTTTTTGTTGTTGTTGAGACAGAGTCTGTCTCTGTTGCCCAGGCTGGAGTGCAGTGGCGTGATCTCAGCTCACTGCAGCCTCCATTTCCCGGTTTCAAGTGATTCTCCCGCCTGGGCCTCCCGAGTAGCTGGGATTACAGGCGCCAGCCATCACGCCTGGCTAATTTTTTGTATTTTTAGCGGAGACGGGTTTTCGCCATGTTGGCCAGGCTGGTCTCGAACTCCTGACCTGGTGATCGTCCCGCCTCAGCCTCCCAAAGTTCTGGATTACGGCCTCTTGTTATTTTTTAAATGCAACATACTAACTTTATTTAACAAAGGTAACAGTTAAAGTAACAGGTAAGTCCCAGGTAAAGCACTTATCATGAGAGAAGCACTGACTGGAAGAAATGTTTGGAACACCATGCAGCTTCATCTTCCTGGGTGCTGGGGCTGCCAAAAGCTCAGCTCAGCACAGGGCTAGGGGGTCTGTACCTTCCTCAAGCGCTCACCGAATACCCCCCTTACATACATGTGTGTTAAATTTGAAAAAGATGTAATGGGGGCCGGGCGCGGTGGCTCACACCTGTAATGCCAGCAATTTGGGAGGCTGAGGCAGGTGGATCACCTGAGGTCAGGAGTTTGAGACCAACCTGGCCAATGTGGCGAAACCTCGTCTCTACTAAAAATACAAAAATTAGCTGGGCGTGGTGGCTTACACCTGTAGTCCCAGCTAGTCGGGAGGCTGAGGCAGGAGAATCACTTGAACCTGGGAGGTGGAGGTTGTAGTGAGCCAAGATCGGACCACTGCACTCCAGCCTGGGCGACAGAGTAAGACTCTGTCTCAAAAAAAAAATTGAAAAAGATGTAATGGGTAGTCCTCAGATAGACCTTACTTTGTTAATCTTTTGGAATAGGTGGTCTAAAAGGATCATGCAGTCTGGCTCATGGATCACGTCGTGAACCCAGCCTAGACTCTGTTGGATGCCAGGTGGGTTTTGGGTGCCTGTCCAGAGAGTTATCTGGGTAACGTGACATGCTGGGACTCCCAGTGCTCATCACAGGACCCGTCTGGGTAGCAGATGTGCTGTGGGCCCTCCTGCCAGGGCACAGAGAGCCAGGGGATGGTGTGAGGGCAAGGAGCACGTCTCTTTGGCCAAAGCATGGCTGCGACTGTGACCTCTTACTTTTTAAAAGCCACAGAGTCCTCCTCAGGCAGCTGTGCTGGAGTTTCTTTCACCAGTCCCTCTGAAGGCCTCACAGCGGCCTCCAATTTTACCACCTCATCAGCAATGGTGCAATGAATGAACATGCTTTTAGTCCACAAGTGTGCATGTCTTTGAAGGCAGAGTCCTACCAGCAGAAGTGCTGCGTGCAGTGCATTCTTTCATTTTTAATATTCTCAAGTTAGAAGAGTGATTTCCTGAAACACCCATCTCTTCACGGCACTTCTGTGCTGAAGCCCTTCCAAAATCCCTCTTCCAAAGAAAAGCCTAGAAAGGAGGCTGGACAGGGGGCGGGCAGTGACCAGTCAGCTCCCACCACTGCACGCCACAGGGGGCATGCCTGTGCTGTGGGACAGGAGGCTGGGCTGGGGACAGGGAGCCAGGCCACAAGAAATGAGGCAGAGGAGGTCCAGGAAGGTAACCACAGCGCCATTTAGAGATGATGGGGCCCATCTTTAGAAAGACCATTCTGGGCCGGGCGCGGTGGCGCAAGCCTGTAATCCCAGCACTTTGGGAGGCCGAGACGGGTGGATCACGAGGTCAGGAGATCGAGACCATCCTGGCTAACACGGTGAAACCCCGTCTCTACTAAAAATACAAAAAACTAGCCGGGCGTGGTGGCGGCGCCTGTAGTCCCAGCTACTCAGGAGGCTGAGGCAGGAGAATGGCGTAAACCCGGGAGGCGGAGCTTGCAGTGAGCTGAGATCCGGCCACTGCACTCCAGCCTGGGCGACAGAGCGAGACTCCGACTCAAAAAAAAAAAAAGAAAGACCATTCTGGGGGCCAGGCGTGGTGACTCATGCTGATAATCCCAGCACTCGGGGAGGCCGAGGTGGGAGGATCACTTGAGTCCAGGAGTTCGAGACCAGCCTGGGCAACATGGTGAAACCCCATCTCTACTAAAAATATTTTTTAAAAAATCAGTTGGGCACAGTGGTGTGCACCTGTAGTTCCAGCTACTCAGGAGGCGGAGACAGGAGAATCACTCGAACCCAGGAGGTGGAAATTGCAGTGAGCCGAGATTGCAGCACTGCACTCCAGCCTAGGCAACAGAGCGAGACTCCATCAAACACAAAGCAAGCAAGCAAACAAACTTTTAAAAAGACTGTTCTGGCTATATGGGCATGTTAGAGAAGGCTGAAAAGAGATAGCTGGGCAGGTGACAGTGCTGGTGACTGACGCAGGGCTCAGCAGCAGGCTGGGCGGAGTGTGGTGTGGGGTCTGGGCCTTCCTGAATTGGGAGGGACTAAGGGACGTCTCATGCCAGATGAAGCCAGACCATGGTCATGAGGTCTGGAGGTGCAGATGCGGGAAACATCACCAAGTTCCTCGTGACCTCTGAGAAAGCCACTCTTCCGGAGCCACCACTCCAGCAACGCGGGCTGAAGGGAGCACGGGGGGAGGGCAGGCCCCTCCAGGGGAGGCCTCTTGATAGCCTGGTCCCCTGGTGGCATCACCCAGCCTCCTCCTCCACAAAGAGAGGCAGTGGAGCCTGCTCCCCCAGGACTTGGTTTCTGCTCTCTAAGCCGATTCTGTCAGGTGAGGCCCTGGAAGGCGGGGGCATGGGCCAGGGACCTCCTAGGCCAGGCAGTACACCCAGCCCTCAAGAATGACCCATGGCCTGGATGGGTCCCTTTCCCAGCCCTGGATTACATCTGAAATGCTCTAAAGTGTTTTGGGGGTGGTGGGAGGCAGGCAGTGGGGAGAGTACAACCAATGGGCAGCCTTCCCAAAAGAGAAGCCAGGAAATTCCGGAGCTGGAAGCCTGGAAATACAAGGAAATTCAAGCCTGGAAATTCAAGTGTCTTGGGGAGGAGGAAGTTTCAGAGTAGCAAAGTCTGGTCCAATCGGTACAAAGAAATGCCTGCTGGATCCGATGGCCCAAGCAGGTCAGCAGCAAAATGGGACAGCAGCAGGGCAAGGAGTCGCTGGCTGAGAGTGGAGAAGCCAGTGTAGACAGCACCCTTGAGGAAGGAAGGCCCGGGAGGGTGACCAAGGTCAGGGAGGGTGATGAGAGGGGACACGGGGCCAGGAAAGGCTCCAAGGATGGTGTGGGCACTGTGGGGGAGACCTGGAGGCACAGCTGTGGGTACCCGCGGAGGCTGAGAGGTGGGGCAGAACAGGCGAGGGGAGCCTCCTGCCTCAGCCCCACGAGGGAGCGTGGGACCCTGGGACAGGCACAGAGAGGCCTGTGTGCAGCAGGGAGCCCTGGGTTTCGGGGTGCAGGAGGGTGAGATAGCCTCAGGCCTGTGTGGGGCAGGGAGCCCTGGGTTTTGGGGTGCAGGAGGATGAGGTAGCCTCAGGCCTGTGTGGGGCAGGGAGCCCTGGGTTTCGGGGTGCAGGAGGGTGAGGTGGCCTCAGGCCTGTGTGGGGCAGGGAGCCCGGGGTGTCGGGGTACAGGAGGGTGAAGTGGCTTCAACTTTCTGTTAAGTTGCTGGCATCAGCTCCTGACACTGGGAGCGGGCTGTAGGGAACCCCAAACCTGGGGTGCAGCGTTTCACTATCAGGTGAATCAGAACCGCTGGCTCCAGAGCTTGAGCCCCAGCCCCACTGGCAAATGGCCTCCCCCACCCGTCTGCAGACTCTGGAAGCTCAGCTGAGTCCCCGCAATTCACTTATACTGGATCTTGCAAGGACAAGGAAGTGTTTTATTTATTGACAACAAAAACATTTGTAACATAATTCTCTCTTCAAAACAGAGAACCCTACAAAATACACAAAGCAATCTCTATTGGTGTCGACCCGGGGACACTCGCAGCCGGAAGGGGGGCTGGGACTGGGAGGGAAGCCAAAGACTAATTCTGTCTAAAAAAACAAGAAACTGCCTTAAAAAAGTAGCAGTGTTCTACTTGTCAGTAGCTACGCTCTCCCCTCCTGTGTTATGAACACGGAAAACAGAAAACAGCACCTGTGAAAACACATTTCAGCCGCGTCTGTCAGAGATGCGGCCACGGGGCATTCCAAGCCCTGCTCCAGGAAGGTGGCTGCCACGGTGGCACTGGGGAGCTCCCTTCCACTCCCCCAACGATGCAGAACCACAGCTCTCTCCCCTCGCTGGTAGGTGAAGAACCTGGGAATCAAACACAGCCATTAAAAACATCTCAGGACTCAGCAGCTGCCACACAAAGTCACAGTCACATGTGCTGGGGGCCAGCGGCTGAGGTCAGAGAAGGGCATGGCCGGTGACCAGACAGGAGCCAAGAGACAGACGCTATCACGGTGTGGCCCTACTAGATGGACTCTGGGAAACTTTTTTTTTTTTTTTTTGAGACAGAGTCTTACTCTGTCACCCAGCTGGAGTGCAGTGGCACAGTCTCCACTCACTGCAACCTCTTCCTCCCGTGTTCAAGTGATTCTCCTGCCTCGGCCTCCCGTAGCTGGGATTACAGGCATGCACCACCATGCCCGGCTCAATTTCTTGCATTTTTAGTAGAGATGGGATTTTGCCATGTTGGCCAGGCTGGTCTCGAACTCCTGACCTCAAGTGATCTGCCTGCCTTGGCCTCTCAAAGTGCTGGGATTATAGGCATGAGCTACCCTTTCCCTTCTCTTTCCTCCCTACCCCAACACAACCAAAGGAGCCAGCACCTAAGAGAGGGAAGAGGAGGTGGGGTGTAAAGAACAGACCCCTTTCCAGTCAGACTTCCAGAACCGTAGGCAATGGGAGAGAAGTAAGTAAGGACAGGTGGTGGCCATGTGCAGTGGCTCACACCTGTAATCCCAGCAGTTTGGGAGGCCAAGGCGGGCGGATCACTTGACATCAGTAGTTTGAGACCAGCCTGGCCAACACGATGAAACCCCATCTCTACTAAAACTACAAAAATTAGCCAGGCATGGAGGTGGGTGCCTGTAATCCCAGCTACTTGGGAGGCTAAGGCAGGGAGAATTGCTTATACCCAGGAGGCAGAAGTTGCAGTGAGCCGAGATTGTGCCACTGCACTCCTGCCTGAGTGACAGAGACTCCATCCCAAAAACAAAAAACCAAACCAAACAAAAAACCAAACCAAACAAAAAAACCAAACAAACATTTCTGTAACATGATAAGAAAAAAATACAGTTCAGCCAAAGCCAGCATGGTGTTTAATGGTGGAGCCAGCAGCAGCTCCATTACACTCATGAGGCACGTTTGTCGCTACTAACCCTGTTCTTGAAGCATGCACCCCCCCCCCATCAGACAGGCTCTGAATAAGACACGAGAGGAGGGCCAGGTGTGGTGGCTCACGCCTGTAATCCCAGCACTTTGGGAAGTAAAACTGGGGGGATCACCTGAGGTCAGGAGTTCAAAACCAACCTGGCCAACATGGCGAAACCTTGTTTCTACTAAAAATACAAAAATTAGCCGAGCATGGTGGCGGGCACCTGTAATCCAAGCTACTTAGGAGGCTGAGGCAGGGAGAATTGCTTATACCTGGGAGGCAGAGGTTGCAGTGAGCTGAGATCACACCACTGCACTCCAGCCTCAGCGACAAGAGCGAAACTCTGTCTTGCAGTGGAGGAAACAACAACAAAAAAAAATACAAGAGGAGAAGACAAAATGACCATTACCTACATATGGTATCACATGGCTGGTGCATGCAGTGAAGCTGCTGATAGAACTCACAGAACTAATGACAGAGTTATCAAAAATAACTAAAAAACGTCGGAAAGGTGTTTGATTACAGAGAAACAAATAGGCAATTTACAGAAAGGCCACCTCAGTCTGGAAACATGTGAACAGAGACCTGGTCAGGGATGTGCTAATGCTAGAAATGAGATCCTATTTGAGATACACCAACCTGGCAAATATTAAAAAGTCTGGCAATCCAAATGATGACAAAGTGACGGAATGGAACCTCTCAGACACTACCAAGGGCAAACTGGTACAGCCACTGGAGACGTCAGTTTAGCACTACCTAGTTCAGGCAAAGACACACCCATCACAACCAGTGACAGGACTTTGACTGTCACAAGAAAAGTCAGGCGTGAGGATAACTCCACGACCATGTTTCTATTTAATCTCTATCTACCTACCTACCTGGTAATCACTGTTAAAACTATTTCCATATCCTGACAGGATGGAATGCTATCCAGCCACTTCTTCTTTTTCTTTTTTTTTTTTTTGAGACATGTCTCACTCTGTCGCCCAGGCTGGAGTGCAGTGGTGCGATCTCGGCTCACTGCAAGCTCCGCCTCCCGGGTTCACGTCATTCTCCTGCCTCAGCCTCCTGAGTAGTTGGGACTACAGGCACCCGCCACCATGCCCAGCTAATTTCTTTTTGTATTTTTAGTAGAGACGGGGTTTCACCGTGTTAGCCAGGATGGTCTCGATCTCCTGACCTCAAGTGATCTACACGCCTCGGCCTCCCAAAGTGCTGGGATTACAGGCTTGAGCTACCGTGCCTGGCCTGCCACTTCTTAAAAAGTAACACAAAAAGGTAGCTCTTTTTGTGTTAACTTAGAAAACACCCAAAATGTAATAAAAATATATTCTAGTACAAAATGTGTAATTCTTTTTGTGGGCAAGTTACATATACACTCATATTCTTTTTTTTTTTTTTTGAGATGGGGTCTCACTCTGTCACCCAGGCTAGAGTGCAGTGGCATGATCTCGGTTCACTGCAAGCTCTGCCTCCTGGGTTCAAGCCACTCCACTGCCTCAGCCTCCTGAGCAACTGGGACTACAGGCACTCGTCACCACACCTGGCTAATTTTTTGTATTTTTAGTAGAGATGGGGTTTCACTGTGTTAGCCAGGATGGTCTCGATCTCCTGACCTTGTGATCTGCCTGCCTCGGCCTCCCAAAGTGCTGGGATTATAGGCATGAGCCACTGTGCCCGGCCAGCATGTGGCATTTTTGTAATTCAAAATTAAGTACTACCAAAAAATTGGAGGGTGGGTACAGGAACAGCAGAAAGATGTTCATTGTCAAGCCTGGGTAATGATACATGGGTAGTGATCATGTTATTTTTATGTTTATTTTTATTTTTTACCTTTGGAGACATTTGAAAATGTCCATAATGACAAGTTTAATAATAATCAAGTGAAAAAAGAAAGTTTCAATCTAGGGTGTGTCCCATGAAATGACTTTAGGAATAAACCCTAAAATCAATATTCTCTGGGCATGAATGCAGATGGGTGGAGATAAACTTCAAGCTCCCTTCAGACAAAGGGATCCCACGAGGTTCTGGTAGTTGAATTTTCAAATCGGAGCCAATAAAAAGTAACACTTTAGCATAAACGAGAATGCACCAACATAGGAAAGCTCAGCTTACATTTCATTTTGAAAACCCAATATATGTAGCACACAGAGGTGCAAACTCAGAAAAAAGCTGTATCCGTGGCTCAAGGAGAAACAAGCCCGGAGATTGACAAAGACAATGGCAGTCAGGCTGAGGCAGGGAACACAGACAAAGGTCCACAGCCGACTCCAGCTGAATCTATTCCTATGAACCAGGCTGCTTCCAGGGCAGGCGGGCCCCAGGCCTCGGGAAAAGGCACAGGGACCGTGAACTAGAAACCCAAGCAGCAATGCCAGTGGTGTCCACTATAATTGTACAACATAATGAGCAGTAATCAAAGAAGGGTGTGAAATGTAACAGAGAAGACAGAAGAGTGATGTAATCACGGAGGCTGCAGAGCCCAGGATGTTTCTGTCGGAAATCTGAGGACAAAGAGCTGAGGATCAAGGCTCAGCAGGTTCCGTTCCCACGGTGGCGGTGGGTGTCACATGCCAGCCCTGCCTCGCAGCCCCAGCCTCAAGCACTTCCCTGTACTCTGCAAAGGGGAACTAGAGTCAACTCAGCCATGAACATCATTGGGTGAGAAGACTCTGGAACCTTGCATGGGTCACTCAGCCCTTCAAAAACACTGATCAAAGTTATGGCTGCCTCTTCAAAATCCCAGCAGATGAACCAAGGCTGTACGTAGTAAACGTGGAGATTGAAAGACCTTCCTGAAACTACTCAACTGGTTCCCCTTCACAAAATGCATTACTCAGCCAATCTGGATATCTCCAAAAATTCCAACTTAGGGGAAAACTTTTTTAAGGAGTCCTCGTCCCTTGGGACTCTGGTGTGACACTCTGGCCAGCCCACAAGGCGGCAGCCCTCTGGCCTGCTGGGCCCTCCACCTGCCCCTTCCAGTCCCTCCAGGCAGCTGCTCAGAGCCGACCCTCGCTGCGAGGCCTCCCCGACTTGCTTCTCCCCACCCACCCTGGGGCCCTGGCTCTCTGGCGGCCACTCCATGCTGACTGCTGCACTTCCCACAGTTGCCCTCGTGGTCCTCCAGGCTAGCTCTCTGCTCCTCCCTTGGCCACATCCCTCTGCAGGGAGTGTGATTACTTCCCCACTGTCACAGCTGGCCACCTAGTCCCATGAGAATATGCATGGAGCTGAGTGGTCTGGAGCCCACCCCTTCCAGGCTGACATGGAGTGACAACGCTTGCAGGTGCCTCCCGGATTTGGGGGTGGGCCAGGCCTCACAGCGTGGCTCTGCTGCACTTCCTCCAACAACTGCAGCTCACCACCACCAGCTGCCACCGTGCTGTGATACATGGTCAAAGAAGGGTCAAAGTGCCACCTCAACTGCTACCCTTGTTTAAAAACAAGGTTTAGGGAGGCCAAGGCAGGAGGATCTAGGCCAGGAGTCTGACACCAGCCTGGCCAACATGGTAAAACCTTGTCTCTACTAAAAATAACAAAAATAACCTGGGCGTGGTGGCACGCACCTGTAATCCTAGCTACTGGGGAGGCTGAGGCAGGAGAATTGCTTGAACCTGGGAGGCAGAAGTTGCAGTAAGCCGAGGTCGTGCCACTGTGCTCCAGCCTGGGCAATAGAGTGAGACCATGTCTCAAAAAAAAAAAAAAACCGTGATAATTACCAAAATGTAAATCAGAGAAATAAATTCAGCATATGCTGTTGGAAAAATGGCACCAATGGACTTGCTTGATGTGGGGTGTAGCAAACCTAGCATTTGTTAACAATGTAAACAATGCAGCAACCCTCAAGTGCAGTAAGCAAACAGCAGAAAGATGAGGTGAGCTGTGTCCATCCGGCCCCAGCCACCAGAAGTGAGCACGAGAAAGGAAACGT